TTTCCCATGCATATTCCTCACTTGCGATTGAATTACAACTGGAGGCTGACTCATTTGATGATATCAATAGCTCTGACATTATTGTAGCTGTTGTGAAGGGTTGTTGGATCTCTATCATCAAGCTATCATTCACTCAGGTAATTCTGTTATAGAAAGCAAGTAGTATTATGATAATTTGACATGAATTATTATATCTACAAAAGTTAAATTAACTTTGAGTAAATGTTTAATTGATCATTAAGTTAATACTCATAGTAAAACAATACCTTTTATTACATTTTCACTGTAGTTTAACTAATACTACATCCATTATAACATATCACTCATATTATATAAGCACAATCTATTGGTCGCATGTAACAGTAGCATTAGAAATACAATTATTGAAAATATATGCAACCAACATGAAACAGAAATAGTGCAGCAAGGAATAAACTTTTTGTAATAATTCTTTGACTACAAGAATCCCAGAGAGCAAAATTTATTTTACATGGCAAAAAGTGAAAATCTCAAAATTTCAGTTTTTCCTGCATAAAATGTGCTACAGGGGTCATTAGGTGACAAATAATATTTTCTGAGCTACTGAACATATACTCTAGATGTCTAGATAGGTGGCTAGGCTTAAATAAATTATTTGTGGTTGTGGCCCGAGAGTGGGTTTTCTACTGAGACAGGCTCAAATGAGTTGTTATTATTGAACTGTCCGTCACGTAGGGTAGAAAATTGACAAATCCAGCCCTATGGGGGGGGGGCTTAGCCTTCCTCAATAAGGATATAGGGCGAATCGGACCTGCTACGGGGTGGTGGAACCCGACTCTAGACCGCATCCCTAGGGGTGATCACGGTTCGTGATTGGTGGGGTAGGAGGAGGAAAAGACAAAAATTAATAATAACAAAATTTTTCTTCCTTTCCTCCCCCTCTGAGTTGTGCAGGTAGCTGTAATCTCCGGATGCCATTCGCCACTACCGGACTGAAGCCGGGAACTTTGTATGGATACTGCTACCTCAAGTGCCGGGCCCCAGCGCCGCCACGCAAATATGGACTCTCTAGTATAGACACAACGAGAGTAGGCACCTCGAGACCCTCGAAGGAGTGGGAAACGATTTTCTGAGCGTGGGAGGTTTCAGGCGCTCATTTGGTGGTTCTTGGGGACGATACTGGGACAGATTATTTCAAGAATTTTCTACCGGGTGATACTCCATGACCCTCTCCCCACATTCAGCGCAAATTTACTGGATTTCGGTTGGGTATGCTTCCTTACCGAGAAGACAATGCTGTCGAAAACCCCCTTCCCGATGCTGAAAAGTTGTCAGTCAAGTTCGCGGGTAAAAAATATCACGTCTGCTGTGTTATCCTGACCGAGATCTGGAAATTTGAAAATTCGCGCCTATGGAGAGTCGTCTAACGAGGTTCGAAGTTATCGGTGCGGCCGCCCGTGTCCGGGTTACCCTCTTCACAGCAGGGGCAGCATCATGGGTGTCTGTCTTCCCCAAGATCGTGAAATACGATATCCTGGGGAGGAATCCCTGGAGTGGTGACTCGAAAACTCCCGACCGTGACACTGAGTATTGTGTAATGCCAAAGGGAGTGGGGGGGGGGGGTGTAACCCCCCCTCATTCATGATACTTGGGTTTTTTTAGACCCGTTGGGGGTGGTCGACCAGACTATTTTGAGGTTTGGAACCACTATAGATCCAATATTTGCACGCAACCGCCTGTGGAAATGCATTATCCAGTGCATAAGTGGCCACGGCATGGATTACAGCCAGAGCGCGCGTGCAGTACAGTGCAGTACAGTAGAGTTGCAGCTTTCGGGACATGGACATTGGATATTGATTACGTGTTCAAGTCCGCTCTTTCCCCCCAACTAATAGCTATCCCCCACCTGCTTTAACATCCCCACTCAACTTCGCATCTTGCTCTACCACAGCCTCAGTAGCTGCGCTCTCGCCAAACACGGTGCTGCCGCGGGAGCTCAAGTGGCTGTTATCACCTGCCCCGAGATCAAGTTCGTGCGCCGCAGCTTCCCCGATATTCCCCAGGGTCACCGTTCAACGGAGCTGTTCCAGGAGTCGGTGCACATTGTTCCGTCCTATTCTACGGCAGTGATGGCGTATCCAGCCCAGTCTGCTAGCGGGTCTCCGACAATGTTGTCCGAGCAGCTTCCGTAAGCGGCCTGTCCGGCCTGGGCTTTTTCATCAGCAGTTCTCCGAGTGATCGAGCATGATTTCTCTGACTGCGGGGGGTTTTCGGAGCGTGTGTATAAGCTGGCATGGATTAAATGGAACACCAGCGTATACACCGACAGCCCCCGTTTTTAAACGACTATCCTGGCGTGATATATTCTCGTGCGGACCATTGCACCCAACCTGGGAACCAGGATAGAGAAATAGAGAAACAGTTTGAGATGCGGAATCATCAGGATCTAGGTCACGGTTCGAGTGGGATTGTCACTCAGGTAGGAAGAGAGCCTCTACGGTGCTCTATTAGGAAATGTGGTAGCTTAACTAGAAAATAGAACTCGCATTTCAGACCGACGATTGATTTCTCCGCCTGATATAGATGTTTCTGACAGACTATAAAGGTTCTGCAGGATAGGCTGATACCATGCGGCCGCTACTTTATTTCCTACAACTCCCCGTCAAGAAAGAAAACTCCCAGGTGTCTAGCCGGAGAGGGCTTTTTCAATGCTTGGAGTGGTGGCAGCGACACCATGGTACTACTTGGGCTAGGGGGGGAGAAACGAGTTAACTTAGGGATGGAGCTTGAAAAGGATAGAAGAGGAATGCAAGGTCCTAAATCGAAACACCAACACACTAGAGAGAGAGAGAAGAAGCGGCTCCAAGGGAAGCAGAGGAAAGGAGGTTCACACTTTCCAAGCCGCAATAGCTACCGGTACTTGCGAAAATGGGGAAACGTAGTCCCCACGTTCCCACGTCTAGCCTCGATCACCAAACAAAGACATGCTTAGCACTGCCGCTTTGTTAATAGGATCACTGTTTGTCACCCGTTACGAAAAAAACCTACCGCAAAAGGCAATTTGGGCTAACCGTAATATCTGCAAAAGTGGACGGATGAAAGAAGGAAGCCCGCTCCTTCTAAGACATAAAATGCCCTATAACCATCCAAGCCCTTGGATACTTTATACTTTCAAGATTCCACCAAGAGGGAGGGACAATGGCATATATATCGCTAGTACAGCTAGAAACGCCGCTTTCACAATTATTACTCTGGTCAACGTTACAACGATAGAACCAAAAGTGAGAGAGAAAGAAGAAAGCCCTCATTTCCTTCCTTCCCTCATTTATAGGCCCAAACCCCCCCGAAAGAGATGCCACCACCGAGCGCGGCAATCGATCCCACCAGCCACCGAACTCTAAGATACTTCCCGCACTTCACGCCCTACCGATCCTTCAAAAACCTCATATTCCTCTTCTATCTCATCACCAAAATTATATACCCAAACCATGACCTCACCCACTACCCGAATAAACTCGTCGACATATATACCTCGAACCGAACCCTCGACCTCAGCCCCATCCCGTTCGGCACCATCGGCGCATCCATCCTCTTCCCCGAGATTCCCTTGCCGGGATTTCCCAAGGCAACGTGCGAGGGTCAGAAATGCCGGTTCGAACCAACAGCAGCAGACAGGGACCTCACGGAGCAGAGTCACCAGGAACTCTGGCGGAGCGGGAGGGCGGTGATAGCAGGATTAAGAAGGAGGGTAGGAGAAAGGTACAAAGGGAGTGCATTGGGGGGTGTGATCTCCGGTCATGGGAATTTGCTTCTCCCCCTCGACGAAGTCTGGCTCCCCAGTTTCTACTCCCCCCCCGACAAAGTCTGGCTTCTCAGCACTTACTCCTCCTCCGCCAGGATGGATAATAATCAAGGATCAACATGTGAACTAAACCAAGCGGCACACCGGAGATACCGTGCCCGAAACCCCATCCCCCAGGACGGCCGGTGGGCACATTGGCTGTCGGGACACTTAAGCGACGGACTGCACCTCATCCCCTGTCCTTACATGGATTACGCCTTCATAGGAATAATCCTCAGGGACCTGCTCGGGTTCCTGGCTAGCGCAGGGTACACCGTTACGTTCGAGATCGTATCGCTACCTTTCGCGGTCTGTAGACGTTACGTGCCCGCTTACGGAGCATTCTCTCGAGCCTCCGCAATGGCAGGACACTGGATCCCACTCCTACCCCTCCTAGCGAGACTCTGGTCTTTCCTTCTCACAACCTGCGGATTCATCCTTTTTAGCGCCGCCAACGTCCTCATCTCCACACACTCCCTCTTCACAATTCTATTCGGAATCCCACCATTGCTATCCGACGTACCCCTCTCCTGGTTCGGGCGCCATTACAGGCGGCACCCCTCCTCCTCCCAGCTGCCTGTACTCCTCTGCGGCATCCTCTTCTGGTTCGGGATCCTCGCTAGCTGGCGCACCTCAACTCCCATCTTCGGCTTACTATTCTCCGCGCTATTAGCACTCGTCAAGCACACCTACTTCCTCCTACAAGCGACGCGGAGGGTGCGATATTACCGGGGCGCTTACGCGCGTGCTTCGCTAATGCTGGGCCCTTACGTCTCATACCTCGCTCGGCAGGTGCTCGTGGACATTACCGTCCTGCTGATGTCTCTTAGGGTGGGCGATTGGATCAAGGACGTGTTCTGGGGTTCTGTCGTGCCGAATTGGGTCAAGTACTCTCCCACCATCGGGACTCTGGCTTGCTATTTGGGAATTAGGTACGCTCTGAGTGGGAGGTACCCCAGCGGGAGATGGGTATTTAGAGGGTTGGGCAGGAGTGAGGTTGTCAGTGTTACGGCCACGGCTTTGCCAGGGGAGCTATCTGGAGGGCGGTATAGTAGGGATCCGGTTAGGGAGAGCGAGGATATCATTATTTAGATCGGGGGGGAGGTTGTTTGTAATGTTTAAGTTTTCTTTTCTCTTAAAAGGTTGTCCTGCTGCAAATGTCGCGCAAGAACGCGAGTGATTTATGGTGAATAGGGATTGACGTGCCCTATTCTAGTAGTCTAGGCATGATACAAAGTATTTTGCTGCAAATCATAACATACGCCAGTGCCATACCCAGGTGCATACCGCAAGCTTGAATAGCACGTAGTCTACTGTAGTCTCTAGTCCGTCAAGATATAAAAAATAAAAATAAAAATAAAAAATAAACCAATCCCCCATCATCCGATCCATCGCAAACTCCCAGAATATCAATATCATACCCCACCCGTCCCGACACCCCTCCCCTATCCGATACGCATCGCATTTGTATCCCCCCAACCGCCCATCCACCCCCCAAACCCGAATTGAAAAAAAGCTCAAGCACCATAACTCGCTTGCCTGGGTGGGACAAGGCAGGGTATGCATTCCATCCATTCACCCATCAATGTTTGCGAGGCGTGGCAAACGAGTGATACCCGATGCTGTCGGTCTATTTGGTCGATTGGTCGATCAATGAATAGAGCGGATACGCTTTTCTTTTGCCGTGCTGCTCGGTACGATGCGATGGCTAGCTGGCCCGGCCTGATCGACCACGGCAGCATAGCGATTCTTGTGACGTTTGAACGGCAGTCTGCACATGCCATGCCATTTGCGATGCAAAGCGGGAAATAGATGAAGAATGAACACAGCATGATAACAGAATCGATTGTCCCAATCTCTACCCGCACTGCAAAAGGAGGATGGATGAAAAGGTATACACGCTACCCTCACACATCAAAACCTCCGTAAATTTCCACCACCCGACAAGCCCCGTGTAAAAGGAGAGGAAGAGAGAAAAAAGTGTATAACGCAAGCTAAGTACAAAGCCCCCGCCGCGAAAAGTATGAGCGGTGAACAGGTATGCGGAGGAGGGGGGGGGGAATTGGAGAATTTTCTTATGAAATGAAAAAATGAGGGTGAAATGCAAATATAAAATGTGTAATAAAGAAGGTATGAGAACAAGAAAAGAAATAAAAGAAAATAGACGAAAAAGAAAAAGGTTATATGCCCAAACCAACTAAATGAGTAATAGAGAATGAAAACATGACATGAACCCCTTTGCACCCCGCCCACAACTTTGAGTCGTTCAAACAAAGGAAATGCGATAAGGTATAACTTAACTTAGCCTAGCCGTCTATCAATTGCACCCTTCGCGCTGTATCTTTAGTTGCGGGTGGGCTCTTTTCTTCGTCCGTGCTTTCGAATCCAGTATCGGTTCGTTTGACGGGCTCAAATCCCCCCGGAACGGGTGGGGGTCCTGCTCCACTACCCGTAATAGCTGTTGTGGCCCTGCTAACGCCCCATCTTGTATCCGCGCTCTCCTGACTATCCGTCCTAGCGATCCCTGGCGCCCTGAAGGGTTTCAATGGCCCGGGTCTGAGTTCATACGTCTCGGGTTCCTCTCCACCGGAGTGCTCTCCTTGGGGGGAGTATTCATCGTAATCATCCAAGTCGCTTGGTTGTCTCATTGTTCCGATCCTCTGCGCCTCTCGTCTGCGTGCTTGGATTGCTGCCGATTCATCAGAAAATCTACTCCCGGACCCATTTCCACTACCAACTATACCAGGTGCGCCTGCACTTGGTCCCCTTGTCATAGGTGCTGCACTTGGATTATAAACGCCTATTTTTCCACCTTCCTCTTCGTCGGCTACTAGGCCGCCCCTGGATGGGTTATTTTCGTACATTCCGAGTTGCATTTGCTTCCGTTCGGCAGTGTCGGTTCCCCAAGACCGCATGGGATAGGCACGACCCTTCTTCCAGGTTTCGGAAAGAGGAGGAAAGTATTGGCGGTAAGAAACATAGGCCACGAAGAATCCCATCATACCACCAGTGATGACATCGAAAGGGTGATGACGGGCATCCATGATACGACTCACAGCAACAAGACTTGCGGCGAGAAGGGGAATTAGTACGAGCATGGTTTTCCATACCTCACCACGAGTATCAAAGACATGAAGTTTTCCAGCAAGGAAAAGCGAGAGATATCCGAGGCCAGCGAATGCAACTATTGATTGTTAAGAGAGCACCATACGGGTGATAAAAAAAAAAAGACCCAACAACTTACTACTGCTATGGCCAGAAGGCCAACTCTTAAAACCATCCTTCAAGATATGTTTGTCGCCGGTACAAATATCGTACGAGGCAAGACCGTACACCGGAGCATTTTGAGCGCCCTCCTTAGGCTTACACCTAGCAAGCATATCCGGTCTCGGTTTGCCGGTGGTGTTTTTCAATGCGCCGGTCATAACGATGGCGGCGGCAACACTCAATCCCAACCCTAATATTCCACAGTTCATTTCCCACAGCCTATCCGACAAAGTCCATGCTCCGTTGTTACCTAGCAAGCGTCTCCGGCTATTCGGGGGTTTGTGGTGAGAATAAAGGCCGTCGATCAACATGGTCCAGAAGATGATAAAGACCAGTGGAAACAAACATGATAAAACACCGGCCCAAACAGCAGGTATCCGCTCCTTCTCGGCAAATGGGTACTGTAATGATTCGTTATTGAGCGAAAAGTGCTGGTGGTAAGGTTCGGCGAGATCAAGGGCCGAGAAGATTAGAATGAAAACTCTGCTTATCATTAGGCCGTGTCCGTGTGCTAATGTCCCGCCTCTCGGGTGACTCAATCCCAAGCTCCGGAGAAGCGCAAGGCAAGTAGGATGCACTTACATTATGACAACGTAGTCAAAAATATAGCTAAATTTCCGTTTCTCTCGAGTCAGTGACGGGGGAAGAATGGGGACGCGGAGAAGCAAAGTCCGGGGGCACATACGATAGGACCACTCTGTTCGGAAGCTTTCGCTTGGTGAAGATGTCCAAAATCGGCATATTGAAAGCTGCTGAACAGCCCGATACAATGCACCCGGATCCGAGTCTACGATTCCGGGCGAGATGGATGTGGAGGAGGGGATGGGGGGATGTTGTGTTGAAAAGACGTCACCGGCAAGACGTGTTTGTCAAAAAAGTGGAGGGAGATGGTTGGGTGCGCTGGTATGGGCACGATGGAAAAGGATGACGACGACGGGAATGCTGTAAGAGATGACGACTATAGAGTGCGGTTACCAGTAGATGTATACTCGAGCAGTGGTCAAAGAAACGGATTGTATCGTGTGCCTCGTTACCGCAAAGCGTCCTATTATAAAGTGCAGCGTTTCACAGAGCCGCCTGCAGCGCTAGCTTTGAGCAATGAAAGTTGACCGCGGGAATGGAAATAGAATAAGTGAAGAAAACAAACACTAGAGGCGTGGATATATGTTGTGAGTGTTGGGTTGGTTGGAGAGGGAGGGAGCGAAGCGGACCTGAAGCGTATACGATAATTCACGGCTCTGGGAAAGGGAAAAGAAGGAAAAAGAAAAGGAGAAAAAGAAAAAGAAAAAAAAAGAGAAGAGAGAGAAAGGGCAGAGCAGAAAAGCTAGGAGCTTACTCTAGGATATCCCAAGACTTAGTTGGTGGTTGTCAAAACGGTGTGTGTGGGATGATGGACAACTCGAACTGGATGATCTCAACTGTTCGGAGCACGAGCAAGCGAAGGATCATCTGTGCTCCATCTCTCTTTTGAGACTTTATTTCCTTTTCAAGCATGAGTAACGGGGCTTTTCCATCATCCTTAACTCTCAGTCACCTTGGCGTCACCATACAATGCAAGATTATCATCCATTTACACTTCCCATTGAAACAGACAACTGCTCGAGTTATTGTGTGAAAGATCTTGGCACCCCTCCCCCCAAATTTTCGCTGCGAAATTATTTGTACTAGTACTTGTATTGGGCACTCTCAATAAAAACAAAAACACATTGATTTGTTGGTAATCATCCCTATGTGCACGGTGCTGTACTGAATCCTCCTATACTCAAGTATCGTACTAGTGCGATAAGAAATTCCATAGTCTCTGACAGCTTTTCCCTTGGAGGTACTCGTACCATTATTGATAGCTACTAACTTGGAGCTGAGGCGTTTTGACTTCCCACGAGTATTCACATTGTCATAGTTGTGGAATGCTTTATTGAAAAGATGTTTAGTCGTGGAGCCCGGTTCCCACGGTGGCCGAAAATTCCCTCCTCGAGCTTACCCCATTTTACTCCGTTCTATTGGTAGGGAAAGGGGACCAATGGTGCCCGAATCTCACCTTCGGGGTCACGATCGCGAGGCGGGCGGCAAGCTTTGCATCTCGGGGGGAGAAAGGATCCAGTGGAGAGGACGGGGATAGCCAAGACTCCAGGCAAAGGAAGGAAATTTCCTCAATCGTGTCTCGCATTGTTGGGCCCTTGTGTCGCGAATTTACTCGAGCAGGGCTCGAGCAGTCAATCACCTTCACTGCCACCCATTCGCGTCCCGATTCAGGCAGATTTTTTGGACAGGAGAAACGAAAAAAAAAACTTCGGGCTTCGGAGTAAGGTCTGCCGGCGACTCGCCACACACGAGATCCACAATCTGCAACATTATCCCGAACGATGATGTTGACTTTCAACACCGGAGGTCAGGCTATTCATAGAAAAGCGAGCGTCTACTCCAGCAGCAGCCATGGTGGTTGCCAGTCCCGCGCTTTACCCGAAATGACCATCATCCTCACTCCCAAGAAAGCAGAGACGTTCCGCTTGATCAAAGTGTACGAGTAATTACGGAGCTGCCCCCGCCCGCCAAGACAACCGACCTGTGGTGCGGATGCCAAGGGGGGGTTTTTTTTTTTCCCGCACGAATTGTTGAAACCTCGTCTCCACGATTTGTTAATAGTGCTTTTAACAGCTATTGAATAACGGTGCTGTACTACCGTACCGGTAGTCCATATTGTTATTGCTCATGCTGGGTCATGATGCTGACACAGTATAGTACTCGTATCGTAGACTATCGAACTGCACTACCTGCACCGCAGAGATCTCGAGGGAAAAGTTGGGCCCGGACATGAGAGCGATATAAGGGTGCCGCATAATCGCAACGGCTCTCTCTATTGTGCACCGTAGTGCCGCTAATAAACTCATACACGGATCACAGGATCATGGCAAGGGATTCCGCCACCTGGACCAAAGTGAAGAAAACCCTTCTTTTAACCCCACTCGTGCCGTACTACTCGAGTACAGTACCGGTGGACCAAGTGCGGTACCGGCATGACCTGGGAGCCGGGTCTCCAATGATCGATCGTCCTCATGGGTCGAACAGTTGGTCGAGTTCTAGAATCAACCACACCGTGTGCTCTGTCTGGTTGGTGGCGATGGGGCTAAGGGATCAAAGCCACCGGGCTGCGGCGTCCCCAGATGCTCTCAGGAGTTCACATAGTGTGCGCAAAATACCGTTGCGGTGGCGTACCGGTAGGGTACAAGTAGGACCCTTGAAATCTATGATACTCGTACCGGTACTATCATGTCATATCATACCGCGGTCTGGCCATCAGCCCCACAATATGTCGTGTTTGACAGGTTAAGAGAATCATGAATACCGGTTAATGAGATCTAACTCGTCTGGTGGGGCTGATGTTTCACCGTATTGGGAAATCCCTAATCCTTCTCAGGAGACTCTGTCTCTAAATTCGGAGATTGCAGGGCTGCCAAGGATGCTGGATATCAGTGCTCTAGTCATCTCACGAGACCTTGTAGTTACTAGTTAGCCACCTGTGGTGAAAATGGAAAAACCAAAACTGGATTGCTAAGCCTCACCAAGCTAGTTGGGATGACGCGTCGTTGCGGGAGTGGAGAGCTAACTTCACATGGCCATCGTTTGACCTTTGTATGGGATACATCATACTCGTACCTGCACTGTAGACTACTCCTACCCTATGCACCCTACCAGCCCCCTCTTTTGCATCCCTTCAAAGAACGAATCCCTAAGGTTGGACTCATACGGTACTTCCCTGAGGTATCATACCGGTACGAGTAGTCTTCAAGATGTCTATTTATCTCCCCATCGACCTGGTCCCTGTTTCGCAACTCTTAGCCTCCCATTTTTAAGGATGCACCAAATTATGTATCGCGTCACTATGGCAGCCATCGGGCCAAACTGCCTTCACGGAGCCCGGGAATACTAGTACGCGGGGGGCATTGAGGGGAGCTCCGTTTCGTGAGTAAGCGGCAGAATTTCCTTGCGCAGTAGTGCTTACTCCTACTCTACTCGAGTAAATTAATGTTCTTACAGTACGTTTGTGAACACAACTGTTGTTGCGTATGGGCAAAAGATGGGCCGGAACCTCAAGATGGTAAAATTATGCAGTGACTGGCAGTTGTGCTCACGGGCGTCGGGATATCGCGGGTACACAGTGGCTCGGCTGTGTTCGTTTCCAGGACGAGGAGAGGTTTTGCCATTTTGGGCTTGGGCTGTTTGCCCAAGGCGAGTATTGGCTATTTTCGACCCACGGCGACTTTTTTCCTGTCTGAACGTTTCACTCAGTTACGATAGTGCGAGTACCGTACACGAGTATTTGGTGCTTAGCCTCGATGGTGATGCCGTGGTTGCCATGCTGTGCTAAAGCCGAAGCTGGCCCCCTGACTGTGCGGGGCACAGGGCATATCTGACCCTTGCTGCGGTCTCGGAGGGCATTCTCATGGTTTTCCGTTTCGGATCTCTTCTTTCATGTCCATTGTTCCCCCTCTGCTAATTTATCCTTCGTCATCATTAATTGTTTCTTGACCCTTTCCCGTGATAGGGCTGTGTTTTCTTATTCTTGGTAACTGCTGTGTCGTTCCGGCAACTGTTGGATGGGTGGATCAAATTCTCCAAATATACTGTTTCGCTTTTCGAGTTGTGACTTGAGCGTCAAAATTCGAGTCGGGTTTTATCGAGTGATTGGCTGTGACACTTTCCTGGTGGGAGCAGGGTTTGGGAGTAGCGGCGGAGACAGCTGAAAATGCTCCTCTATCATATCGGGCTAAGGTACTGAGTGCCAGTAACTTTTGGGATTCGGGGCGTAGGATGCAAATGCCAATTCTAGGTTCTGGTAACTAAGGGAACTGCCTGTTTTACGCCTTGCATTGGGTAAATGTTCGAAGGTCAAATAACTTTAATGGGGCTGGAACAGGGTTACCGCCTAGGCGTTGTAGGCCTAGGGAGGAGGGGGATGAACGGGTGCTAACCGACTAACTGAATGGCTTGGATGATCCTCTATCGGTTGTATTGGTGTATTTGCGGACTTGGTTTCCCTCCTATAGTGTGCTCAACCGATTCCCGGATATTCTTAGTGGGGAGGGGTACTGTATTCACAACAACTTTCTTTGCTCTGGTGGTCTACTAGTATAAGAGTTTGGCTTGGGGGAGCCCCTGGAAACCCAATTTGCTATTTCAATCGTCGGAAGAGACGCCAGGAATTTCCCAGGTATCGATTTTTATGCACGAAGGACAAACTCCCCGCGACTCCCGAGGGAACATGTCGGAGAATGGCGCAGTTTATGGGATTCAGGTGAGGCATGGGCAAGGAGAAGCAGTGTGAGGATAATTTGAAAACACCTGGAGATGGCCGGAGAGTGTCCTATCCCTTTAAACTTGAACCTCACTCACCATTGGCAGAGAATCTTCATGGTAAGACACAGAGATTTTGAGCAGGTGCAGGAACAGAGAAGCTGGCTCTGGGGCTATTTGGTGTTGTGTTGGTTAGATTTAAGAATTGGCTGGCATTCAGTGTGGTTCCTTTCTGATACTTGGTTTGGTTTAAGATGATACTAAATTTATCACGTTGTTGTACAATACTCGTATACTCGAGCACATTTAGTTACGTACTGCTCGCCCCGATGGCATCTGTACTGGTATCACTAGCCTGTGTGGGGCACATATCTAGTTTCTTTCCAATTTCCTTGCATCCTTCAATGATAACAAAGGAAAGACAAGTTTAACCAAGGCTCATGCTTCCCAAAACCCTCGAAAGTATCCATACAGTCCATGGCACTCTTCCACATTCCTCGAGAGCAATGCCGAGCAGTATCTAGTGAAATCCAGAAACATGATGAGACAATAAGTGGAATGGCCTTCCTTACCTTCTGCCAAACGACCCCTTCAAAACGTCTTGACTCTCGAGAAACGCTCTACGAACTTGAATGAGGTGAATTCAAGAGGGCTGTATTTGCCATTTGGCTCACAGGATATAACTAGCATAGGATAGATGGGACGGTCATCAATACCACAGCCGTTAAACGCCGCCATCGTTACCACTCACTCCAAGACTCTACATTCCATTACTACATTACCATTCCTGAAAAAAACAAGAGATTTACCAACATTATTATATCAAAAGATGGATAATAAGGATACCGTGTGGCCTTCGTCCGTCACCTTGGTGGTCAGCCATCTCGTCGCTCTCTCTTATACATCCATCATCGCTCGCTACTTTGTTGAGGCTCAAACTTATAGTGGATGGGTCTGCTTCTCATGTGTAGTCACTGTCAGCCTTCTAATTGCTGGAAGCTCAGCACACCTTTCGGATATACTTGACCTCATGGGTTATTCACTATGGAAAGAACCCCTCTGGGTGATGGCATGCAATATAGGGGTTTTCTCCTGTGTGCATTCCATTTACCTGATCACCAGGACGGAATCGGGAACCGTTTCGGATACGCCACCTCCTCGCAGTTCATTCCCAGGTCCCGAGGAGCTAGATAGAGGCGAATATACAGAGGATTTACTTCTCAAGCTTGCAGCTAACCAAGCCAGGTTCAGGAACAATAGAAAGAGGGAAGAAGACTATAGGATAAGTGCTGGAGAGTTGCCCCCATTCCGACGTGCTATAGGAGAAGATGTGGAAGACCCCCCAAGCCCGCCAACGGAAGACGAAGATGAAGAAGATGAAGAAGATGACATGTCCAATGAGGATGATCTCAATCCGGATTTTTGGCGCCACTTTGATCCTGATGATCGCTCCACAACGGAATACCCGACCGATGGTGAGTCCCCGGAGGCTTCTCCACGTCCGGACATGCGACCCCGTGTACGCCCTGAAAACTTGTACCGGCGTCCTATGTCCATCCCCAGATTTCCACCTCAGCCTTCGGCACGGATACGACCGGAAACGGCAACACCGACGCCTCCAGCAGAGCCGGAAGGCAGAGTCAGCAGGGCCGGGCGAACCTCTGCCATGGAAAGTCGGTCTTCCGCACCGAGGACTCGCTCAGTATCACCCAATACAGCAAGCAACTACCCCTTCTATACTGAGTATGTGAGAAATAGAGCTTTCTCTCCACAGCTGTCGATTTCACCTCCGCCGGGAGGTTTTCCGGTAAGTAATATGAGTTTCATCTCCGAATCACTTGAGTTATGGATAGACTAACGCGCCCTAATAGCGCAAACGTCGTAGGAGTCCTCCTACTCTTCCTGGAATTGGGAAAATCTTATAAAGTAAGCAGGACGGCCTGTCTAGAGGTCAGGAGGCGAAGAGTGGGGAGAGGGTTTGCGGTATCGGCGGGGAAACTGGTAGCGATAGCGAATATTAATCCTTTAGGTTAGATAGCAGGTGTAATATCGGAAGGATTCCGGCTGTAGAAGTGTGAGAAAAACAGACTGATGAGAGTGGAGGAAATTGTATAATTTGATAGATAGAGTGAGATCCAAATTTTGGGTTGTTCACTAAGGCAGAAGATCGATGTTTAGGTTTTCATATCATTTCTAACTACATGACCAGGTCTTTAATAGGATCTGTTTCCTCCAATATCAAGTCCATGTGGGTGAAAATTTTCACTCCCGAGAAAGGGGGAGAACCATTTTCTCCCGCTAGAAGAAAAGGTTTTACCAGTAAGGGGCAGAGAGTTTCGAATGAATGAATGAATGAAACCAAAGCTTGGAGGTATCCTGATCTCCCAACTTCGCAATAATGAAACAAACAAGGAGACTACCAAGTGTTTTCAAAGATAACTGAGGTGACGGGGACCAAGAATCCAACAAGAAGCTTAAGGTCACAACTTCGGCTTCTTACCGGCAGTAGCAGTGTAGATGCTATCGTCAGCTCTTTTAGAATCTCTGACCCCCTCGTGGCTACACATCTAGTATTATCAAGTGGCCGGGGAGCAAGTAATGCCCCCCCCCCCTCGCTAAGTTTTATTTTCCAATATAGATATCGAATTTCTTTGCTCCTGTGGTTACAATTGTCATAAACAAGTTGGAATTGTCATGGAAGAACAAGACTCTACGACACCATACCTAAGTCATATACAGTACTTGCACCACCACCCTTCATTGAAAGCTGATATTTCCAAGATTATCCACTCTCTCGCCTACCGCGCCGTGTATGCCCACCGAACCTACCTGCCTACGGGACCGCTTGGGCGTCAGACTGAGCTAGCACCGAGACTGTTGAACATTCGCCATGCTATATCCCCCGTGCGCACAGACGATCACTCGTAAGTCATTCTTCTCTAGGCTCTACTCCAAAACGCCTTCCCCCCTTCCCGCGATACCGTGTACGAGTACTCGTAAGCGCTGACCGCCGCCTGGAAAATTCCGTCTGCACTCTACGTGTATTCCTGGAAATAACTGTCACGGGTATTGCGGCTAGCACGGCGCTGCATGTTACAGAACCGGGTAGGGTACTAGCTGGTAGAGTCGCACACCCCGATAACGAAGGCCAAGTGATAGGATCTTTCTTTTCTTTTTCCTTTTCTTTTTTGTTTACGGTGGTGGGGCATGATAGCTCTATCGTCCAAAGTTGATCCGTTGATCCGGGACCGTGGGAAGGGCGGCTGTGAAGGGGTTTAGACTGGAGATTGGGTTGGGGGGGGGGAGTGATAGAAATAACACCTGATCAACTTCTTCCAAATCCAGTCGGGTATTACGGAGTGCCGCTGGCTATGGCGGGCTGAAAAAAACAGTTGGGGGAGGATGTGGTTATGGTGGTAAGGGGGTGGGGACCGCGGAGGTCGGAATCGCCGCGATTTTTTCTACTATGGCTCCTTTTGTACGACTCTCATGAGGGAAATTTCTATCCATTCTCTCACGGTATGGTCGTTGCTTTATAGCTGGACGTATGTGGGCCTGGTTTATTAGCTACTAGTTCGTTGTAGGGGATATGAAAATTTGTGTGGTGTCAGGAATCGAATTCATTAGCTAACATACGGTACCGGTAGTTCGCCAATAGCGGGGGAAGTTGTATTGGGAATTCGAGTTCCGGGACTGTTGTTAATTCGTGATGATTTTTTCTTTCTTTCTTTTTTCACTATAGGGTTCATTATAACGGGGTGCAACTGTAAACTCGGAGATGTATGATACTGGCTACTAATCTATATACAGGTTGTAGTACTATACTGTACAGAGAACACCAAACCTCCCTATTTTGATACCGCCACCAGCTTAAGACTTGATGATCCGTGCACGCTTCTTGCTCTCTCTGTCGGCGCATTCCTAACCACCATTTCACCCCCGATCCCTCAGACAAGCCTCTAAAAATTGTTCCGTCTCCGGAGCCAACCTCCGGTGTCCCTTCCAATCCCTGATAGAATTTCCGTCCACATTCCTCAAGTCGAGATCTAAATTCAATCTTCCAAGCAGTTCCTCGATGACTGCAAAGTACCCGCCCATCGCTGCGAAATGCAAAGGGGTATTCCCGAGCCCATCTTGCAGGTTGACGTCCACCCTGTGACACTCCAACAAAACGGACACGGTCTCCTTGTCGTCCCGGTGGACGGCGAGCTGCAAGGGCGTGCGATCGGACAGGTCGCAAAGGTCTGTCCGGACCCTAGCATCATCGAGCAATAGCCGGAGCACGGTTAGCTTGTTCCTCTGGTAATTGCGCACGGCGAGATGCATCGGGGTGGAGCCATCCAGCGTATGTGGAACGTTCGGATCGACCCGGGGATCGGAAAGGAATAGCTTGACGAGGGCAATGTCGGCGTCTTCGACGGCGCGGTGCAGTGGCGTCCACCCGCCTGTATTTGGCGCGTTGACATGGACTCTCTCGTCGGCGAGGAGCAAGCGCACGCACCCCTCCAACCCACGGAACGTGGCAAAATATAACGGTGTGAAGGAGTTATTGTTCGCGATGTTCGGGTCGACGTCTTTCTCCTTCAGCAAGCGAAGAAGCATCTCCTCGTTCGCCTTGTCCACGGCAAGGTGCAGTGGCGTGTAGGCTTGCCAATCGAGCGCATTCACATCGAATTTTCCGCTGCGAAGCAGCACCTCCGCCACGTCTACGCGCCCGCTTTTGACCGCCATGTGTAGTGCCGTCCCGGGCCAGGACCTGGTCGGGACCGCATCATTGAGGCCACAGTCCAGGAGCGTTTGGACGACGGTTACGCTTTGACGGGAAGATACGGCGTCGTGAAGAATACTCATGTCCGCGGCGATATTTTTCTGGATCCCCATGGATAGGAGCTTTTTGACGGTTGTCCTGTCATTGCGTGAGGCGAAGGCGTAGAGGGCTCTTCTCGCGTATTTCTCTGAATGGGGTCGGAATAGGCTGGGGACCAGAACAGGGGTCAGAAGTGCTGCCAGATGGTGGTTCGTGCGCAGGAGGGAGTTGACGTCTGGGGGGATTAGGAAAGCCGATATTTGCAGGAGGAGCTCGTTCGGGAGGACGAGGAGGGACATAGTCTTTTAAGACGACGTTTTTCGTGCACTTTGCGGTAGGTTGGTGAATAGGGAAGAGGTGAGGTCGGGGCTACTAGTAATCTAAGGTTAGGTCGACAGCGGTATAGTGCCGGGGGGGGGGTGTGA